TACATTTATAACTCTTTCATAAATATAATTACATAATTATTATATCATAAAAATTATTAACCATTAGAGATGGAGAGAGAGAGAGAGAGAGAGAGAGACTGAATGAATCAATTGAATAAACCATTTTCTCTCTCAATTCAATCGGTATTTTAATTAATTCTGTGTTCAAAAAAGTTGTGTGAATTAAACGCAAACATGTATTGAATTTGTGTCTCAAAGGAAACTTTTTTCAGTCAATTATAATGAGGAATAAATTTGGTTATATTTTTTCGATTAACAAAATAAGACTTACAATAAAATGTTAAGTCATATGCAATGAGAAAATTGTAATAAATATATGATTGATTGACAGCAGAGACGGAATTGAAATAATTTTTTATTGAGAGAGAGAGAGAGAGAGAGAGAGAGAGAGAGAGAGATTGGTTTGTATTGTATATTTTTAATAATATACTTTATATACACAAAATTTATGATTGTATTCAATACCATATTATTCAATGATTTAAAGAGATTTAATTCACTACTAATTGTATATAAAAACTATAATTAATAATAATTGTTTGGCGAGAAGAGAGGATAATGTTTTAAAATATAAATAAATCTCAAGTAAATAATCGGTTTTATAGTCCGTTTGTTGGATTCACTGTAACTAATAGTACGCTATTATTCGCCATTAAAATAGTAGTTAAAGTTTTTTGTAGAGACGAGTATAAGAGTTAACCAGAAATAAAATAAAAAGTTTTTGCAATTTATTATATAATAATATAAAATACTGTGCAATATATTAGGCATAGGAATTGGTTAAGCGTATAATAATAATACCCGGACTATGGCATAGTATTATTAACCAGGCATTGCTTAGTTATGTGTGTGTTAACAACCACTGATGTACACACCAAGCAACAAAATAATCCAGTATTATATGTAGCATATCTTAAAGTATATCACATATCATACACACAACAAAATTTATGCATAATTGCTATCAAACACGAGATATTGTGCCCAAAAATGCTTGTGTTTTGAAAAATATATATTATATGCGAGACTTAACCCCATATATACGTTAGTGAGTGAGTGAAAGTAATTTATAAATATAATATACGGGTATTATATCAAGAATATTATAGAGAATACATTGGGTATAAATGGTTATAATTATAAGTTATATGACTGACACATGTGTTCAGTCAATAAATCACAGGCAAAAGGCAAGTAGTTTTAAATAATGAAACTTAAAAACAGCAAAAAATTACATTTTCTTGTTTTTTACTTTTATAAATTATAATAATATATAAATTTTCAAAACTCTTATTAATATCAAATATTCGTTGCTCTCTCTCTCTCTCTCTCTCTCTCTCTCTCTCAACTTTTTTCTCACTTTCTGACGACTATTTTATTTAAATTTTCACTTTTTATTCGTTTGCCACAGAATTTTGAAATGATTTTTCATGATTTTGTATACAAAATACAAACTGTTTTCACACTATTATACAACTATTATACACTATTGTACAGTTAAACAAATGAGAAAATACGGAAACATTTTTTCTCTTTAAGTGCCAACACATAACACATGATATTTGTATTTCATATGCGATATAATATTTAAATTTGTTGCTTAAGCCTCACATCGGTATCGGATATAAAAGTGAGAGATTCAGTGTTTTAGTGATTGAGAAAAATTTGAATTTCAAATTTCTCTCTCAAATCTATGTTTCGCTCTCTATTTTAAACGTCAATTAAAGGGAAATATATAATATTTTCTCTGCATTTATAATGATTTCTCTGCCAATCATTTGGTGGAAGAATCGGTGAATATTTTTTATGTATATTTAATAAGGTATTCATAGACGAGATGGCAATTCATCGTAACTTCAATCAAAAATATTTCACTCAATAGACTTAACATGTATTTGGATATGTATATGGCTCTCAAGTTATTTCCCATTTCTTTTTGTCTAAAATGCTATTAAACTTTGATTTTATACAATAATTATAGTGATTACGATATATATTAGTAAAATCTAAAGCATATTAACTGTATTTACATATCAAATGGATATTTAAAATTTTGAGTTTTAGATAACACTTTCGATACTTCAAAATCATTTCTCATTCATTATATTTTCCATAGCATTTTACATAACAGATATCCTCTCATAAAACGATTAATAAATTAAATCAAAATTACATTAAAAATGTGAATTAATTATTACCAAACATTTTACACGATGTCTATGACTCTTATAATAAATGATTTTTGATTATTATTTTTCTCGATAGAAAATACACTGATTTTTGTTTAATATTATACAGTATTTTTAGTCACATTTCAGAAAATGTAAACTAATTTATTATAATTTATAAAACAAAACAAATTGCTATTTATATATTTAATTGATTAAAATCTAATCGATTTGTCTCTCGGTTTTACCAGAAATCATTAAGTTTTTAAAATTTATTAATTATTATTTTATAGTTAGAGATAGAGAGAGAGAGAGAGAGAGAGAGAGAGAGAGTTTAGGATGGGTTTAGAGTCTGTACATAATGTACAATACCTGGTATAGTGTACACAACCGGTGCAATAACACCACTACACTATAAGTGATGGGCAAAACGTTTTTCTTCTGCCTCTAAATATGTACATAAAAATAAATTCCCGAATAAACAAAATGAATGGCAGAATATAAAAAGCGTATACAGAATATTCTGTTCAATATATATATATATATAAATGGTTTAGACATAAAGTGAGCGATAAAAACAAACTTTTTTCCCTTCCCTTACACTCACTCTGAATAAAGAAATATTACTAAAAAATATCAAAAATAGATATATAAATGCATTAATAATTCAATACCCGGTAATACTACACATATTTCTCTCGCATTTCAATGGTTTGATAGAAACAAAACACACAAAAAATGAGATAAAAAATCAGATAAAAAACTTTTTTCGTCTAAAAGTGTTTTGCGTGAATAATTGATTGCGATTTTTGTAACAAAAAAAACAAAACCCAAAAACTACTTTTCCTGCACTTCCTATGACTACAACACGCAATGCATATACAGTTTCCTTACGATTCTTGTCTACGAATAAACCATTAATAAACACAGAATTCATGTCAATAAATATTAAACATGATTACACCAAAAACATAGGACATCGCCATCGCGTCGACACCTATTTCTGGGACAAATGCTTTTGTTGGGTCTGTTCCTGTCGTCGGCGTTGGGCATAGCATTTGTGCCAAACCCCTCGTGGATCTCCTGTACGATCATAAGGGCCGGACTCGGGATCTGCTATTCGCTGGTCTTCGCCACACTGCTGGTGAAGACGGTGTTCCTGTTGTCGCTGCACTCCGGCATATACCTGCCCGCCTCATACCAGGCCCTACTGCTCTTCTTCATCATCGCCACGCAGATAGCCATCGATGGCCAATGGCTTCTTCACCAGAGCTCGCAGACCGTTGTCGACTACGTGGACGCCTTCGGCTCAGTTGTCTACAAATGCGATCACAATATCAGTTCACTTCTCCTGTCGTTGGTTTACGACATCTTTCTGATAGGTATGTGTCCGACCGGTCGCCCGACCGGAATGGCTATGTCTTTGTTGTGTTTGACATCAATTTTCACTTTACTTATTGTGTGTTTTGTTTTTGCCATCATTTATATCATTTAATATTTGTTATGATATAACACTTCTGGCAGTTTTCGTAGCCCTCCAAACACATCCACACAAATAGTGTATTAGATTTTAGTGCCTATTATTAACACGACTTTTATCTTCATGTACTTCTTCCTCAGCTCTCACTAACCATTCAATCAATTATCTCTCTTATTTACTCTAGAAATTAGTGGAAAAGACTTTCTTATTTTGATAACTCATTAAAATTTAGCAAATTTTTGCTGCATTTTTATGATATAATAATATGAATATCCATATTATATGAATATATTGATCGCATAAAAGTCTTTATAATTGAATGAATGCTCTGATTATTTTGCGCTAACCTTTAGATTCTGGGATGAATTTTCTAATAATATGCATATTTTTAGCTTAATTTTTATATTTTCTTTGATATTTGCATATTTTCTAACGTTTTAATTGAATTATCTATAAAACCATTTTTAGTTTCTAACACATTGTGGCCATCAATTCATTGTGTCTTTTCAATGGACTTATTATTAATTTAAAGGGAGTTATAAAAATGTTAGCAAAAAAAGCAATAATAAAGACTTTAAAAATTCTGAACCACTCCTACAGTAAATCCAAATAATTAATTGAATAAAAAGCCTATTTTTTCACTGACTTTTAACGACAAATAAAAGTGAAAAATCCTTTTATATACAGTATATTGTTGTAAAATATATGTCAAAAGTCATGAAAATCATTAATTGTCAAAATATATGGCAAAATATCATGTAATGTATAGAAATGAGACAATTAATATCTAGATAATTATTTTGTAGCACACTGTACTAACTTATAAGTAAAAACTTATTTTATGAAACATTTTTCTCGCATTTGAAAAGAATTAAAACTTTTTGAGATCAAAAATATAAAAACACAAAAATTATACAATACTTACAAACAAATAATATATTGAAATAAATATACAAAATCACTAATCGTTAATATCATTGCCACCGCTAAACCCCATCCAATCCATACACAGCGTTGGTGTCGTGTCTGTCGATGAGGGCAAAGGGTCACCGGGAGAACCATGGTGAGGCCATGTTCATCACGATCACTATAATCACATCCATAGTGTTGTGGTGCGTATGGATCGGCGGTGCGTTGACCACATCGAGTCACTATAGGGACGCGTTTCTGGCGCTGGGAGTGGTGGGCAACGCGACCCTTGTCTTCCTAATCATGTTTCTGCCAAAAGGACGCCAATTGGCGGCTATGGGTCGCGAAGGTATGTCCGGCGACGACAGGGATCAGCTGTCGTCCCCCTCGTCCCCATCCATATACACGCCATCGTTTTTGCACATAAAGCCCAGCCATTTGATACCACTCACTAAAACCAATGGCAATCTGTATAAACAGTTCGGCCAAACAAATAACACCAACAGTTATAATAACAATAATAATAATGTTAATAATAATAACGCCGCGAATGGCAATCATTACACACATCACTCCACCAATAAGTCCGCCAATAATGGTTAGTCTGAATTTTAATTTGTAATTTTTAATATTTTTTGTATAGTAACTTTTGTTATAACATAATATATGATGGTAACAATTTGTGCGCTCTATTCCCTAATCAATTGATTGATTCCTCCAATACTTTTGGAAAGCATTAATAATAACATTAATCTAATGATTATTGTTTGGTAAAAGTTATCTTATTATTGTTGTCTGCGTTGAATATAATAATTGAGTTCCTATTAATCTCTCTCTCTCTCTCTCTCTCTCTCTCTCTCTCTCTCTCCATCTCTAATGGTTAGTAATTTTTATGATATAATAATTATGTAATTATATTTATGAAAGAGTTATAAATGTATTACCCTATTAAGCATATTATGCCCACATATACTGTACTCTTATAGCTCTGGACAGGCATTACCTTTCGTACCGGCCCTCAAAGTTTAATACCTTTAACAGTCATGCCATCAATGATTTGCTTTGCTTTGAATCTCTCCTAATATTATCCGACAAAAAAATAACTGCAAAAATATAAATATATTTTATATATAAGAAAATAAATGATCTGTAAAACCGAGAATTATACGAAAAATATATATAATAAAACTTATGCTATAATTTGCCAAATGATTAATCGTATACAACACTCTCCCCATCTCTCTCTCTCTCTTACTCGCTCTCTCTCTCTCTCTCTCTCTCTCTCTCTCTCTCTTTCACTATCCAAATGCCATTCCTGTCTCCTTTCTCTACTCCTATGCATAAAACCATACATAAGATCTGTTCCGAGAAATTGATGATTTTCTGATTGGTTTTGTATTAAAAACACCAAAAATAATATGAAAATGTTTGTTGAATCGTCTATTAATAAGCCTTTTTCTGCCAAAAAATAAACTACTGATACAACGAATATTTTAATATATAAATAATTATTTCTTATTTTTATTACCTGTTTGAAGAGGGTTTAAGATCCCCTATAAGACATACCCTCCGTATATCTGTATATAATTATTACCATATTCTTTGCCCATTTATTTATTCAGCGATTTTTTCTCATTTGCTTATAATTGTTATATAAACTGAATATTAAATTAATTAATCGGTTATCTTATGGGAGATATAATAAAAATGCATGTTTTGTATTATATTTCCAGCCAAACATTGCAATCAAATTCATTACCGAGAAATTTTTTGTATCGCTTTAATATCATAACTATAATAAAGTCCTTTTTAATCGTGATTTTAAGCTAATTATCAGTTATTAGATAACACTTTCGATACTTCAAAATTATTTCTCATTCATTATATTTTCCATAAATTTATTATTAGTTTTCTTTTGGCCGTAAAGTCAGTGACTTTTTTGTTGTTTGTTGTGTTGTATTAACTCTTATATAAAGAGTTACATAATGTATATAAATCACGAAAAATAGTGGACAAAAACAACAGCAAAAAATCCCTACAACCAGAGACTGATGTCTCTCTAATGTTATCAAAGCTATTAATTTAAATTAATTTGTTGTTAAATTAATTGCAACTAAAAAAAGTCAAATTAAAATGTTTTCAAACCAAGAAAGACATCTATTTTTCTGGTAAAACCGAGAGACAAATCGATTAGATTTTAATCAATTAAATATATAAATAGCAATTTGTTTTGTTTTATAAATTATAATAAATTAGTTTACATTTTCTGAAATGTGACTAAAAATACTG